TCTCTCTCTCTCTCTCTCTCTCTCTCTCTCACACTCACACACAAACACACACACACACGCGCACACCCACACATAGACACATATGCACCCCGCCAAAAAAAAAGATACCACACACCCACACGTGCACAAACACACGCACACAGCACACACCCACACGTGCACAAACACAATACACACCCCCAAAAAATATTAAATAAACACACACATTAGATCTACCAGCGCATTCCGATTCTTTTTCTCAGAAATTCTACGATATCAGGGCAGAAAAACGAAACAACATTCAGCAACAACCCAAGAACAGATGCTCAAACATTGCAAAATGAAGAATTAGTGGGCGAAAGAAAGAGAAACCACAGACAGAGAAACCACACACAGAGAAACCACAGAAAGAGAAACCACGTATTGTATTGTTCATTGGAAATAGGTGCTCGCCAAACAAAAAGACGACAACATGAATTTCTTTACCTGTTTCCCTCAGTCTCCACACTTCTTCAGGCAGTGCACTGAACGTATGCAATCCCCCGAATCAAACACACAGAGCACAGAGCGTGTTGACACAAATGTTTAATGTGTCAATGTGTCACACTCCCTAGTGAGTGCAGTCACGCCATCAGAGCCATCATTTACGCAGCACCTTAGAGGAATGCCAGTCGTTCCAAACACAGAGATCTCTAGTCCAGGTCTCTCGCGCCAACACCACGGCTAGTGTGGCCTACACCGTTTATGTCCCAAGCCAGTCTCTGTCACCATCGCGGCTCGCACGGTCGCTGTGTGGTTGCTGTGTGGTCGCTGTGTGCTGTGTGATGTGTGCTGTGTGCTGTGTAGATCTAGCAGGAGCACAGTTGCTACCGCAGTGACCCGGGCGTGCTGCGGACTAGCACAGAGGACGCGGTGCATGGTTGGGTGTGTTGTCTTGTCATAGTTCATAGCAGGTGACACAGGCGTGTTGTGGGCCAGGACTATAGCACAGAGGACGCGGTGCGTGGTTGGGTGTGTTGTCTTGTCATGGCAGGTGACACAGGCGTGTTGTGGGCCAGGACTATAGCACAGAGGACGCGGTGCGTGGTTGGGTGTGTTGTCTTGTCATGGCAGGTGACACAGGCGTGTTGTGGGCCAGGACTATAGCACAGAGGAC